GTTTTTTGCCAGAGTCTATGTGAAATTTCACTAAACCATTTTAGCCGCTTTTTTTTGCCAATCTAGCCGGTCGGCCCAAAAAGTTCTGGCAACACTGCTGCACGCTATAATTGGCTGCATTTGTCTACCTTCTCACTCACTGTTTCGACTGATAATATTATTGGATACGTGGAGAAGCATACATGCATACACGAGAAGCACATCTTATGCTATAAACTCATTAAAAAAGATATGAATGCGGATTATTTTAGGTGTATAAACTTTAAGCTGGGCGTTAGTGAACATAATTATGAGAAACTGCTGAAGCCCGAGATTTGGCCGGATAATGCATCTATTCGTCCGTTTCGTTTTTTCCGCAAGGATGAAAATCAACCGCCACAGAATTAGCTGTTCATTCCTGTCCTAATAAGCTTGTAAAAATCTATTATGAAAACGCTTCGGGAATAAGAAGTAAGTCCGACGATATGCGAATGCTGAGCTCATATTTTGAATACGATGTTTTTGTTGTAAGTGAGATTTGGCTCAACTCAAATTTCTACGATGCTGAGTTCTTCGATTCGAACCTTTACGCAATCTTCCGTAAATAGAGAGATGCGGTTAAAACCGGGGCGGCGGTGTGCTGATAGCAGTTCGCTGTAATCGTCAGGCTTCACTTATTCTGTTGGAGGAGAATGACACTTCTTGACCAATTATGTGTGCGAATTCGAGGTGCGATCGCTTTTCTTTATATTTGCGTTTCTTATATTCAACCTTTAAGTAATGATAGTATCTATAAGCCGCATGTTAACAATGTGTTAGCCCTTCTGAATGTTACTGGGGATAACCAATTATGTGTTTTGGGGGACTTTAATTTAAGCAACATAAGTTGGCAGTACCTAGATAATAACGTATTTTTAACTCCGTCAAATATCAATACTCCTACGGAATCTTATTTTATTGATAATTTATTGGACATGGGTTTAACTCAGATTAATGATATAACTAATGGAATGAGTCGCTTTTTAGATTTAATATTTATAAGCGACGACTCGCGCTTTGATGTATCACAACCTGCCTCTTCAATATCGCCGGTTAACTTACACCATATTCCCTTAGTGCTAGATTTTGAATCTGTTGAATTTTTTGAAGTATGTTCTGAGACCGCTAAAACTTCCTTCAATTTTGCTGCATGTGATTTTAAGATATTAGAGATTGCTTTACGTGAAATTGACTGGAATATACCTTTCGGGAATAATGACGTCGCTGAGTGCTTTAAGATGTTTAAAACTTTAGTGCTGGATCTGTGTTTCAGACACGTTCCAGTTTTTACGATTAGGAATTACAAAAATCCTTGGTACACGAAAGATCTCAAATTTCTGAAGAATTTGAAAAACGAGTTCTTCAAGAAGCTTAAGTCAGCTAAGGAAGTTCGCTTTTATGACTTATATATCTCCCACAGGAACAAGTCTAGAGACTTAAATAAATCGTTGTTTAATAAATACATTCAAAATTTTGAGGTTAACATAAAAACTAATCCGAAGAACTTTTGGCGATATATTAAATCGATGAAAAAAGCCTCTGGTATTCCAAATTCCGTTTTATATAATGACGTCACTGCTTCCTGCCTTCAGGATGCAGCAAATTTATTTGCTGATTTCTTCGCATCAAACTTCGTGTCTGATGTTGATCTTCCTGTAGATGATTTGGCAGCCGTTCGCCGAAACCTATCTAGGTATTTGTTTATTTCCATTGACTTCGGCTCACTTGTTCTATCGGATGATGACATCATAGAGGGCTTGGTAAAATTAAAAATTCTTTTCAATCTGATGTCGATGGTCTATCTGTAGCGTTGCTAAAAAATTGTTCATCTCTAGTGCATCCTTTAAAGCTGGCTGAAGGAATTTTTATTGATGATCGGAAGTTGACATCAGTCGCCCCAATCTACAAACGCAGCAATAAGAGTGATAGTTGAAACTATAGATCAATATCTTAATTATCTGCAGTCTCCAAACTTTTTGAATGTTTCGTCTAGGACAAGATTTATTTCAGTGTAAAACATCTGATTTGTCGTAATCAGCATGGATTTATAGCTACTAGATCAACGTAATCCAATCTGTCGATCTACACTGACTTCTCCAAAGCTTTTGATAAAATCTCCCATAAAATTTTAGTTACTAAATCGGCATGCGTAGGGTTTCATTCGACCTTCCTAGATTCGATCAATTCATATTTGATAAAGAGGAACAGCACAGTTATCATCGACGGGGTTTCCTCGAGAGAATTTGTTGTCAGTTCTGGGGTTCCTCAGGGCAGTATACTAGGGCCCCTACTGTTCGTCTTACTTATAAATGAAATCTGTTCTTGCTTATCTTTTTCTAAATTTCTTCTCTACGCGGATGATCTAAAAATCAATGCCGAAATAAGAAATTCTAGTGACTCAGCTATCCTACAGTCTGAGCTTAATAAGTTATTTTCTTGGTGTCTTATGAATCTTCTACCACTTAATATTAAAAAATGTCATAAAGTCACCTTCTCTGAGCTTCTAAGCCCCATCCATACATATTATCATATAAACAACACATATCTTGCTTCGCGTGATGACATTAAAGATTTAGGAGTTTTCTTCGATTTTAGGTTCTACTTCATTACGCATTTAAACTATGCTGTTTCTAATTCACTTGCTATGCTTGCTTTTGTAAGGCGTCACCCTTCGCATTTCGCTGACCCTTATACTCTTAAAATGTTATACTCAGCGTTTGTCCGATCCAAATTAGATTATGCTTCCTTTATTAGGAGGCCACATCATGCAGTACATATAAAGCGGGTGGAGAGGGTTAAAAACCCTTTATACGTTTCGCACTGCATTCAAAAAATTCTTTGACCCGTCTCCATCGTACGAATCTCGCTGTCGACTGATCGGTCTTTTTCCATTAAGTGACAGAGGTACTCTTCAGGTGGTTACATTTATTTTTGATCTCGTCAACGGCAAAGTTGACTGCCCGTCTCTTCTAGAGAGACTACACTTCAATGCTCCCTGCAGAAATTTTCGTCGTACTAAGGTTCTTCGTGTTGGCTTTTGTAAGACAGTTTACAGTGCTAATGCGCCACTTACAAAACGTTGTCTGAGTTTAATTATATCTCTAATAGATTGGACCTCTCTGGTACCAAGCATGTATTTCAAACGCAAATTATTTCCTATGTAATAATACATCACACATGTTTTAATATTATTGCCTTGTATTATTAATTACTTACTTTAGTACAAATTTGTGAATTTCAATTAACAATTTAAATATTTTTTTTTGTTAGTATCTACACAATTTCAGTAATAAATAAATAATAAATAAATAAATATATATGTTTTACCGTCGATGTTTTTGCAAAACCGACTAAAGCGCAGTTGTGGCAAAAATGAGATTTGGTAACCCTGAACTCCGGTTAGCGAAAATCCTTATTGATAAACCCTCCAAGCGGATGCCGACTGGGCAATGGGCATCGTTGCTTGCCCCGCTGCGGCGGGATGAGCTTGCTCTTCTGCCGCAGTGGTGCAAGCAGGCGGGGCCTAGCTAATGCCGAGGTATAAACTCTCCTGCCGCGTCTAGTGGTGGGCCGGATGGGCTCGCTCTAGGGAGGCCGGGGTGGGCATACTGAGGCCATTTCTAGGGGGTACCTGGCGGTAGGTATAAAACGCCGCCCTAATCCAGGGTGTTATGCGTCAACGTGCCCATTGGATCCGCCTCCGGGAGTAGGTTAGGTTAGGTTAGGTTGTCGCGGTCGTCTATAAGACACACTTAGGCTCGGGGCCCATTGTGATGCCGCATGTTGGGTCAGCAACTCCCGATCCCTC